CTGTAAATGCCGTTTGTGCGATTTCGTAAGCGTCGTCAACCTCCAGTTGCGGGCCCTGGTAGCCGAGGTAATCTCCCCTGGCCATGTCTAGCGCGTTCAGGTTGTACACGTTCTGCAAGTTGATAGCTCAGTGTTGATAGTGGGTACATGAAAGCTAGAGAAGTGATGAAAGGCAAAGGTAGTTGTAGGTAAGGAGGAAGAATAGAAGAAAGGATAGACAGGTTAGAAACTGGTGGGGGGAGGTAGGTGGACAGATATGTCTGTAAATTAGGTAATCAAGTTTCAACTTCATAGCAAACGGGTCACTACCATTTTTGCTCAGTTCCATTTCCAACAAATGTATATATATATATATATATATATATATATTGAATCGTCATCCCTTTTTGGGATGCAATTTTTAGTTATTTTGAAGCGTCACCCTGACTTTTGCCGGGGCCCTACTTGGAACTTGGACTTTTACCGTAGGCTCTTAATATAGCCTGGCCTTAAATATGACCCATCAGCTAAACGGGGTTTCTGGGACCTCTCCACATGTGATCATTATCCGCATGGTGGCACTTTGTGTCACCGGGTGTTTATCGCTTGTGTGATGTCCTGTTGGGGTACAACTTACTTACCTATCAAACAAAAACCACTCAGAATATCCATCATTGTCTCTTGTGAACAAAATTCACTGCAGTTTTAGCACAGCCAATAGCCTACACATGCATTAAATGCAGAAGGCAGCCGTCAATAGTGCCAACACAAACATTCCGATATTAGAAATGCAGTTCATGTGTGTAGATGCACAAAATGAGTAGGTAGGCAGGCAGGTGGTTGAGATCAAAGCTGGAGAACAAATAAGCGACTGCCTAGGTTGATGAGGTGGGTAGGTAGAAGATTGTTGGCCAGGTGTAAAGTGTATCATCATCATCATCTGTTAAGCGCAGGCTATAATGTTTTATGATTTCATACTATCGGTAGTCTCGGATCAGTTCTGTGTTCTGGTTGTTGCCAAGATGAGAAGCTACAAAAGGTCAAATGGTGAAAATTTTTATGCTAAAAGTAAGAAAAACAAAGGTCTAAAAAAAGATGTCCAAGATGAGGGTCTAGAAGCTGGAATGCAGATTATAGAATTTTAATAGTTAAGGATGATGATGATATCAAGTTTGTCGCAAAAGACGACTAATTATGGAGTTACCTCCTAAACCGGAGTGCATCTGCCTGAGAGGGGAGGAACCAACAGTCTACATACAAGTAAACACATCTGTAAAACGGATATGAATAGAAAATTAAAGTTCTGAAGCAAGACTAAAGTCTAGAAGTAGACAACAACTGGAGCTTTCTGTCGGAGACTATAGCCGGTGAAGGCTAAGGTGACGAAGAAGAAGAAAAAAGGAAGGAAGGAAGAAAAGAAGGAAGGAAGGAATTCAGATTTAGAGGAATAAGACGGAAAAGATATGACGACGATATAAAACAGTACAAATATTGTAGAAACTCAACCAAGATCACAAAGAAATACTAAGAGAAGCAACCAAGACCAAAAAGTACGAAGACAAGCACCCAAATCGGAGAAAGGGATGGAGAGACTGCAACAAAACAAATCGGAGAAAGGGATGGAGAGACTGAAACAAAACAAATCAAAGAAAGGGACGGAGAGACTGCAACAACACAAATCACAGAACAGGACGGAGAGACTGCAACAACACAAATCACAGAACGGGACGGAGAGACTGCAACAACACAAATCAGAGAACGGGATGGAGAGACTGCAACAACACAAATCACAGAACGGGACGGAGAGACTGCAGCAACACCCATCAGCGAACGGGACGGAGAGACTGCAACAACACAAATAAGAGAAAGGGACGGAGAGACTGCAACAACACAAATCAGTGAAAGGGATGGAGAGACTGCAACAACACAAATCAGAGATTTCTCACCACCTTCTTCATTATCATAGTCATCGTCGTCATCATCATTTGGCAGGGTCTTTACAAAAACGTCGCTCTGGTCACGGTACGTCTAAAAGTCTCAGCCTTATGTGCTTTCATAGCTAATACATCTTCAGTATCCAGTATCCACCGTCACCTTAACCATCTGCCTCATGTTCCGAAAACTGTACCTTTGAAAACCGTTTTTTACCGCTCCCACCACGACTTTTAACGTAAACGTTTTCGGAACAGGAGGCTGTAAATTAGTTAATTCGCCCCTACGATTAGATCATGTAGAATGTCGATGTTTTCCCTCCCCTTGGTCCATGGTATTGTAAAAAAATTTAAGTAGCGTAACAATTCAAAAGCTCTAATTTTTCTTTCTTTGCCAACGATGAGTCCAAGATCATAACTGACGCCCTAAGTTGCCACATGAAAGATGCATGTCGCAGAAGAAATGAAAATACTGATGATGATAAGTTTCAAGTTTGAAGTCTCAACAACGGATCAAAGGGATTTTTTACGTGCTCACCAATGCACACAGGCGTCCGATCTCACTACCCAGATACCGGGGGGAATTACTAGAAGTTCAAATCCACTTGAAAAACTCCCAGCCCTTAGAGAAGATTGACCCCGGAATCTCTAGCACTCGAGACGGACACCATGCCTCGAGACCACACAACCCGATGAAGATGATAATAACTGGCGAATAGCAAATTATAAAATAGTCAAAAAAAAAAAAAAAACAATGTATGCAATCATAATTGTACAATTGTTCTCAATAAAATTGATTTTTAGATAGTGATATCAGAGGCGCTGCTACAAAGAAAAAAATTGTGGGGGAATGGCCCTAAGCCATATAATTTTCTATGGACATGAGGAGCCTAAAGGGGATTAAGAATTGTATAAATGATCAATAATAATAATAATAATAATAATAATAATAATAATAATAATAATAACAATAATAAGATGAAGACCCCTTTCTACGCCTTCAGGCGTATTGGGCATTGAGGACTAGACCTATATTTTATAAACAAATCGGCACCAGGTGGGTGGTTTGGTCAGCATCACGCCGGTCAACTTTACTTCCCAGGACTGCACCTTGTACCCACTCAAGACTGGATCGACATTTGAGCCAAGGTCGTTTATTAATAATAATATTAATAATATAATAATAATAATAATAATAATAATAATAATAATAATAATAATAATAATAATAATAATAATAATAATGTGCTGAATAGCAAATAAATCCAATAATATATTCGATACAATACAAACGATATAAATAAATACTCTAAAAGTGAACGTCTATACGGGACTAGGGGGGGAGGGGTTAAGGGCTTAGCCCCTTTGCACATTTTCTAGATTGTGGGGTGGGGGGGGGTGGTCTGCAGACCCCTAAAAAATTGGGGAGGAGTGTCTGATGAGCCCTTTTCCCTAAAACGAATTTTGTTAACGAATTTTTTTTTTTTGGGGGGGGGGGAGGGGGGGGGCAGGCCCCTGAATGATACCACGGTAACACTGACGCTTAGAACATATGTAACTTGTGAATACTCAAACTAAATCTGTCATTAAAAACATCTGAAACTCACCAAACTGATCACCGAGCACACCAGCATAGTCGGTGGCAAACCGCTTGATAATCTTGTAGACAGAGTTTGGATGTTTTAGGTTCAAGTCTGCCTTTTTGCGCAGTCTGACGTCACGCAGGCGGTCCGAGTAAAAACTGGGAGCAAACAGTTCAGTAGCATGTCACAGTGTCATGCACAGAGAATATTTACTTTCACTGAGTATTTAGATATACTGTACAATGGGGTGATAGACTGAATGGCGGACAGATATGCTGTTTAAAGGCTGGTATATGTGTAAATTTATGAAGCGTTCACTCTTAAGCCTTTCTTACTACAGTACAATTGATAAAGACAAATGAACCAATTAATAACAAAATATTATCAGAGAAAAGATATTTTTTTTTCAAAAAGATGATGTAATTATAGATCGAACTACATCACTAACTTCTAGTTAAGGAAGTACTGATCATTAGAAAAAAAAATGATCAGTCACCCACGACAGTTGTATCATTGATAATAAACTGACCGTAATTGAATAAATTAGTACAATCAATCTTGAAACTAGACCCAATCAACATTTTTAATGTCTCTTTTGTTTTCAGCATACCAAATTATTTTAAGAACAGCAATGGTCATTTCTGGTACATTTCCATTGTTGACTAGCGTCACACGCTGACAGAAATGTAGTCTGGGTGAGAACCTGTGCGCACATTTTTAGCTGGTAGATAAGTGCGTGTGAGCTTTCCAAAGAGATAAATCAAAATTTGTAGACATCAGTTGAAACAGACAAAATGATTTACATCTAGCGAGCACCACCCCCCCCCCACACACACCGCCCCCCCCCCCACACACACACACCGCCCCCCCCCTTTCCCCCAACACACACACGCAAAATGGAAGAATTAATAAATAAATACAACCAAGACAAAATAAAGCCAATCAAGCTATAGGACAGATGACACCATCATTGAAATGCAACTATGAACACTAACATAGCACTATTCAACACTTTATTCTTGCCAGCGCTATACTGTCAGCAGCAGACATGGGCAATAGCTTCAGAAAAGAGAAGAAAAGTTAATCACGAGCGAACTGAAATGTTTACGCATTATGCTTGAAGTGACAAGGGAAGATGGGCGTAGGAACGTTATCAATAGGAGAACGGCACCGTACCGATACTGAGCTTTATCGGTAAACAGCACATCAAATGGTTAGGCCATGTCACACGATTGGCCACAGACAGGCCACCACAGAGAACAATGTTATACATATGTATCGGTATTGTTTGTTTTGGTTGGTAGAAAGAGTATGTTGTTTTGTAGGCCAGGTCGTTTGGTTGGAATGTTGACTTGTAGGTAGGAATGATGACAGGTAGACAAACATGAAGGTGGGAATGCATGCAGATGGGTAGCATAGATACTTGAGCAAACAGAGACAAACCATCTGTGTCGGCTAGGAGTCGTTATTCTTTGGGATTTTTTCATAATATCAGAAGGCATGGTGC